CGGAATCCCGCAGGTAAAGTTTCGATTTTTCGAAACTTTTTGACGAAACTTAATAAAAATGTTTAATTTAACATTTTTTATTATATTTTATTAATTTTTTTGTATGGAAATTGGCTTCGATTTGCCATCCTACAGGTAACGTTTTGATTTTTGAAACTTGAAACTTAAAAAAAAACGTTATTTTAATGTTTTTTCTTTTTTTTTTGTAGGAAAATTATCTCCAATTTGTAGAAACAAATGGGTATTAAGGAATTTAACGTATACCGGATTTGTTAGAAAGTTGGGATGATTTTTGGTGAAATTGTTTTATATGTATATGTAATATTTTAAATTTCAGAATAAAATTTACTGTAATTTGCGATACAATTCAGAATACAAATCAGAATAAATTTTTTACTACAAATCAGAATAAATTTTACTACAAATCGGAATAAATTTTACTACAATTCGGAATAAATTTTACTACAAATCAGAATAAATTTTACTACAAATTGGAATAAATTTTACTACAAATCGGAATAAATTTTACTACAATTTTGAATAAATTTTACTACAATTCAGAAAATTTTGTCACAAATTTACCATAATTCAGAATAAATTCACTGCAATTCGGTAAATTTATGAATAATATTTTTTAAACAATTCGGATTAAAAATACTAAGCAATTCAGATACAATTCAGACATTCTGATCGGCATCGATCGGCCTGCCAATCAGAACTTTGCCTAAATTAATAAATCGGCCATATTTATCACCAAATTCAGCCTAAAATCAGACATCCGATTTCTAGCCGATTTGGACTATTTCGACCAGTGATCCTCAAAATGTAAGTATGATATCTTTGCTTGCACTCTTCTATTAGTATTATCATTCACAGGACTAGCCATCTCAATTCTAAATGAATATAATACTTTTCTGCTAATAAAGATCATTAAGAATTCAATATCAATAAGGAAAATTATCATTTTGATCTTATTTTTTATCTTAATCATCATCATGCAGAAAAGATGAAGGTGAAGATTATACATAATTTCATCCATCTAATTCATTTGGGATGTCTGAAAAGTACTTGTATATCTTTATGTATATCTTCTACATCAATATCAGTTAATAAAATATCAAAATTTCTTAATTGTCAAATTGAAGAGAGAATTATACTTGAAATTTAAGAGAGAAATGATAAGAACAATTATATATTATAAACTGATTAAATAAAAATGATTTTATATTATATACATATTATGTTACAGAATGTATATGCTTGAGGAGTTAAGGATGTTATGAGCAATGCGGAGAAAAAGTCTTTTAATACATTGACTAGCATTCCTGCAATTATAGATCATAATAAGAAAAATTCAGGCGCCAGTCTGCATTTTATCTTCATCGTCTGATTGTCCTTCTCTAAAATATGGGTTCTTAACCTTTTCCCGATTTTCACATTTATTATCTTTGGTTTTATCGCATTTCTTAGAACCCGAAGATTTCCCTTTATATTCTTAAGCACCACTTGGAATAATAGTAATGGCTTCATATTTTTCTTTTTGTCTTCTCGCATGTTCAGCTTCTTGTTTAGCATGAATATGACCCCAATCTCCACGTCCTGTATCATAATCCTAACGATATTCATCATGTACTTGTCCCTAAGGTTGATTGTCTAAATCTCTTCAAAATCCTACGATTAGTTTCATCAAAATTTTACTATAGATTTATTATAGTTTCGGCAGAGTTTCAGCAGTTTCAGCATTTATAATAAGTTTTGGCAGTTTCGCCTTTCTCCAAAGTTTCGCCAATTTTTTAATATAACTTTAATATAGTTTCAGCAGAATTTCGCTTTTCGGCGAAATACCATCTTGCCTAAACCCTAGGTTTTGGCAAGCAACCTTACTTGTCCTCCAGATCTTTCTCTTCCAAATTGTCTACTATCTCTATATCCAGGATCTAAATCTGTTCGAATAATTCTTTTATCTAATTTTGTACTATTAATATATTTCATACAATCCAATGCGTTCTGATGATGATAATATTCAACAAAACAAAATCTGCAAGGAGTTTTTTGAAATTTATCTAAACCCATAATAATTCTTTTTATTTCTTCCGCTTTTGAAAACAATTCATAAATTTGTTCTTCTGTAGTATAAAAAGAAAAATTTCTGACATATAACGTCATACTATTTGAAAGATCTTTCGCAAAATCTGTTGACAAACCCTGATATTGTTGATCTTTATATGAAGAAGGAACACAGAGAGGCTGAACAATATTCGTCATGATATTAATATTGAGGAAAGTTTTCTCATAATGTGAGTGTGACATCTTTACTTGCACTCTTCTATTAATAAATATGATCATTCACAGGAATAACAGAATCAGCCATCTTAATTCTGAATGAACATAATACTTTTCAGTTGAATATTGAGGAAGATTACCATTTTAATCTAACCATCATTATGCAAAAAAGGTGAAAGTGAAAACCATACATAATTCCAGTAATGTTGTGAAAACCATACATAATTCCAGTAATGTCTCTATTCAATTCATTTGAAATGTCTGAAAGATACTTGACATTTATATATTTTTATATATGTCTTCTATATCAATATATATCAGCTAATAAAATGTTAAAATTTCTTGAATCATTATAATTGTCAAGTTCAAAAAAAAATTATTCATAAGAATTATCAAGTTCAAGAGAAAGTTATACTTGAGATATGTAAGAACAATTATATATTATATATTATTGTCATGTTAGATGAGATAAGAATGATTATATATTATATATTGTCACATCAGATGAAATAAGAATGATTATATACTATAGTAATATATTATTGTGTAAAGTGAAAGTTTAAGAGAGAATTATACTTGAAATTATACTTGAAATTATACTTGAAATTAAGGAGAGAAATGATAAGAACAATTATATATTATATATTGTCACATCAGATGAAATAAGAATAATTATATATTATATATTGTTGTGTAAAATAAAAGTTTAAAAGAGAGACTATATTTGAAATTTAGAAGAGAAACAATATGAATGATTATATATTATGTGTCAGATGAGAAAAAAATGATTATATATTATATATTGTTGTATAAAATAAAAGTTAAAAGAGAGTTATACTTGAAATTTAGAAGAGAAACAATATGAATGATTATATATTATGTGTCAAATGAGATAAAAATGATTATATATTATATATTATTGCATTAGATGATGTCATTTTTTTAACTGATAATCTGATATCAAAATTCAAAAACATAAATTAACCAATAACTCATTATGACTATAGTAATATATATAATGCATAATATTATATAAACTTTATACAATACAGTCAACATACATTTTATTTTCTTTATTTTCTAGTAATTATACTATCTATTAATATATTATTCATATTTTGTATTTAATGTGTCATTAATCAAAATTAATTTTGAAACAAGTTTGAAATTATATATATATATATATAAAGATTTACTCATTATTAAAAGAAATATGGTATTTATTTCCAAAAAACAGTTATAATGTGGAAACATTACAGTTTATAATTTTATATTTTGTAGAATATAAAATAAAAATAAAGAATATTATTACTCATATAATCATAAAGGATAAGGATTTATATATACAAGTTGACAGATTCTTAATGGAACTTCAGTTATCAACTTATAATTTGTTAAGGCACCAATTCTGCACAGTTTTTCAAAAAATGATTGCAGTATTCCAATTATTCTACGATTAGGATATACTTTGCTTCTGATACCTACATTAGTATCAGTATTTTTAATTTTGACTCTATTATTTAATCTTTTACATTCATATAATAATGAACTGATGTATCTATCATGAATTTTATCACTTATTCTGATATATTCTTGAAGAATATTATATTCACAACTGATAAGTATAACTTCTGATTCAGTTGTATTATTATAAAATTTTTTACTAAAAATTTCAAGTTATTCATCAAATAAATTATTTGTGTTTCTAAATTCATTTTTTCTAATAATTGAAAAGCAAAGATTCATAAAACCACCCATATATTCCAAATAGTGATTATTATTATTGATTAAAAATTGGGTAAAGTTAGTATTATTTCCTCTAAACTGAAAGATATAATTATTCTTCAGTTCATTCTATTAAAATACATTTTTTGAATTTGTTCAAGTATTTTTTGTACTCTTCTTTCTTCTTATCTGTATAGTTTCACAAAATTTGTAATCAGATCTCTTAAATCTTTTTGCTATTTCATTTTTAAATGCTGATTCTGCCATCTACTTTTGAAATTGCTTAACTAATTGTATAGATTTAAAAAGAAATACTGTATAAATATAGCTGTAAATAATAGTGAAATAAATAAACTAAATATACTTATATATTTTGCTAGATCTTAATTGCCGATCCGCATGTGATCGATAGAATTTATATAATAAAATGCGGCGTAACATTTATATATAAGCCATGTCGATCATGTTTTTATATCAAATAAAATGCAACCATATTGTTATACGATTACGTAATTTAACACCTGCAATATACGTTTAAGATTTTAGAAAAAAAAAATTTTTTTATAAAAAGTTTTTTTTCTTTGCAGTTTATAAAGTTTTATATGTAGGAAATGGAGATTTTATAGTATTTACTACTATTTTACTTCTATAGTATAAACGATTTCTAGCTCTTTAACTTTTCTTTGACGCTTATAAAACTTTTTTTGATTATTATTTCTGTCAACTATTACATTTTTAATAACACTAAGTACTTTTATATCTCTTTTTCTTTCACAAATATGTCCAGTTTGTAAAAAATATGAATATAATGAAATATATAAATAATAAAAGGACTTTTATTAAGTTTTAGCGTAATCTCAAAATAGAAATAGTTATCTTGAATTTTTTTTAAAAAAATAATAAACAAGTCATATAAATATGGACATAATAATGAAGTTCTGATATAATAGCGCCAGTTGCAACAAGTTTTTTAGGAGTTATGTATGTATTTGACGTTGTTGTTTCTTGGGGAAACAGAGATTTCAAACAGCATTTTTTTTATTAATTAACATAACGCCGCATTTTACTATGTAAATTCTATCGATCACATGTAGATCGGCAATTAAGTTGTTATAGAATCAGATTCTAATTAGATTAACAGATTAATATGTTAATTATCAATTTTTTGACTATATAATAAGAATTTACAAATGTATGAATCATAATCAATTAACCTATTTTCTTATTAATATAAGTAGTGATTATCTGATTCATAATATTTTCTGGAAGTATAGTAATTTGAATCATTATTAAAAAAAATATATATACATTATTTTTTTAATTTGCTTTGTATTTATTTTTTGTATATCAAGCTTTCAATCACATTAATAAAATAATATTCAGGTATTATATTTTTTCAGCAATCATTATTTTGTATTTTATATTCATTGCATTTGTATCCAGAAAAATGCAGATTAGAAACCATTTTTTCTTATTTAAATTTTATAAATAAGGAATTATTTTTTAAATATTTATGAGATCAACAGCTCATATTTTTAATCTGCAAGTATATTGTACAATTACATATAATTTTATGTTTTATATATATTATTTTAAAATAATACTTTAATTTCTGCAGATTTTCTATTCTTTTACTCTATGTATTTATTATTTTATTGCTCCATCTTCCTGTACTAAAATTTTAATATTTAATGATTTGAGAAATTCTTTTCCATCTAATTTGAAGTAATAACATTCAAAATTTCTTTCAATTTATTATAATCTGAATGTCATTTCTTCACATTTTAATTTCAAATTAACTTTTCCAAAAAAAGCATTTCTAAGTATTAGTATCTAAATATATATATTAAATTCAGTTTTGTTAGAAATTGTATAAATATGTATAAATAGTATAAATGAGATTATTTGATAAAGTAAAATGATTGATTTAATTTTTATTTAAATACTTTTTTATTCAAATTATCAATATTATTAAGTTTTTCTAGATACTTTAAAATCTTCTTTTTGTAATTTAAAAAAAATTTATCTATATATTTTCCTTCTAAAAAATATGCGGCATTAATATCAATATTTTATATATACTTGATCATCTAATATATATTTTTTAAATTCTTGAAGCAAATATTTAAAACATTTGATATTGTAAATATTGATAATACCAATTGATAATGAACTTCTTAATACTGACTTTTTTTGTAATTTTCATTATTAAATATTCAAATTCTATAACATTAACATTATCATATATTAATTTATAATAATTTGCATTTAATATAATCTTAATATTTTATCTACTAGTTTATGATTTATATATTTTCTTTATTTAATTACTAATAATACATTAAAAGGTATATTAAATAATAATAAATTAGTGTATAACATAAGAGAGGGTATAGAATAAGACTTATAAGAGTACAGTCAACTCCCTCTATAGTCACTCCTGTTATAGTCACATTCTACTATATAGTCACACCAGTTGAATGTTCAAAACACTTTATTATTAAAAAATATCCTATATAGTCACAATATATCTATAGTCACTATCACACCTATCCTCAAAAATCTTATATTAAAAAGAACCGTTTATAATCACAGTTATATAGAGAATATATTAAATAACTTGGCATCTAATAATCATACAAAGATGTATCATAGCTTGTTAGAATCGTCTTACTGAGATGAATTGAATAGTGGTAGTTTTATTCTTTTACTTTATTAGTATTTACGGCCAAGCCTCCCTTTACCTCTTTTTGAGGCATTCTCAGGTTAGTATCCTATTATTCCTAAGGGTAATCATTAAACTGAGTACTTAATTAGGTAACAGAACATATTTAAGAACATCCCTATCAGGCCACTTTTAAAGCTGATCTGAAGCTAGAAATATGCCACCTACTCATCCTATATTCATTACATGATACTGGTACTCAATTTATTTTACGACCTTTAGAGAGCACCTACTTTTATGGAGGACTTTTGACAGGTAACATTAACTATCTAATACTCTTTCATACCACTATTTTAGGTACGAGGTCTCACTCAAAGGCTACTACAGCCTGCGATTACCTAGCACCGATAGTACATACATAGGATTGGTAAAAGTTCTTATTTCAGACCTAACTAAGACTGAGCTGCAGATCTTTAAGTCTGATTTTTTGGACTAATAAGGAGTTAGTCTTAAATGAGTCCTGACCAATAAAAAGGGTTTTTACATTTGGTATATATATTACACAGTATTTTAATTTTTGTTGTACAAACTT